CTTTTTCGCACTGAATATTCATTCCCCCTTTGTCAAAGATTAATTGACCATATAATTGTGGGTTTATTTCTAGGTTTGCTATTCTATTCCATTGATCTATGTGTCCATATTTATGTCAGTACCCTACTCTTTTAATTACTACTGCTTTGTAACGTAACTTGAAATCTGGGCTGTGGTAACTCCAGCTTTGTTTTTCTTTTCAAGATTGTTTTGGCTGTTTAAGGTTGTGGCTCCATATAAATTTTAGGATGGTCTTTTCTAGTTCTGTGGAAAACGCTGTTGGTATTTTTATAGGAATTATATTAAATGTATAAATTGCTTTGGGTAGTGTAGACCTTTTTTAAAAAAATATTTTATTTATTTGAGAGAGATAGACATAGTGAAAGAGAGCACCAGTGGGAAGGAGAGGGAGAAGCAGGCTCCCCGCTGAGCAGGGAGCCGGATATGGGGCTCGATCCCAGGACCCCAGGATCATGACCTGAACCAAAGGCAGCCGCCTAACTGGCTGAGCCACCCAGGCACCCCAGTATAGACCTTTTAACAGTATTTGTTCTTCCAATCCACGAGCATGGAATGTCTTTCTATTTCTTTGTGTCATCTGGAATTTCTTTCATTGGTGTTTTATAATTTTCAGAGTACAGGTCTTTCACCTCTTTAGTTTATTCCTAGGTATTTTTTTTGTTTTGGTGCAATTGTAAGCGCGACTGTTTTCTTGATTTCACTTTTTGCTGCTTCATTACTAGTGTATAGGAATGCAACAGATTTCTGTACATTGACTTTGTATCCTGCAACTTTACTGAATTCATTTATCAGTTCCAGTAGATTTTTGGTGGAGTCTTTAGGGTTTTCTATATATAGTATCATGTAACCTGCAAACGAGAGTTTTACTTCTTCCTTACCAATTTGGATGCCTTTTTTTCTTTATATGGTCTAATTACTATATCTAGAACTTCCAGTACTATATTGAATAAAAATGTTTGAGAGTGAGCATCCTTAACTTGTTCCTGACCTTAGAGGAAAAGCTCTGAGTTTTTCCCTATTGAGTGTGCTGTTGGCTGTGGGTTTTTCATACAAGGCTTTATCAAGTTGAGCTCTATTCCTTCCAGACCTACTTTGCAGAGGGTTTATATCATGAATGGATGTTGTACTTTGTCAAATGCTTTTTCTGCATCCACTGAAATAACCATATGGTTTTTATTCTTTCTCTTATTGATGTGACATATCACGTTGATTGTTTTGTGAATATTGAACCACCCTTGTATCCTGGGAATAAATCCCACTTGGTCATGGTGTATGGTTTTTTTTAATGTATTGTTGAACTCAGTTTGCTAATATTTTGTTAAGGATATTTGCATCTATATTCATAAGAGATATTGGTCTGTAGTTCTTTTTTTTAAAAAAAAGATTATTTGAGAGAGAGAGAGAACATGAGCAGGGGGAGAGACAGAGGGTGAGGAAGAGAGAATCCTCAAGAAGACTCCCCATTGAGCACGGAGCCCATCATGGGGCACGATCCCAGGACCCTGAGATCATGACCTGAGCTGAAATCAAAAGTCTGGCGCTTAACAGACTGAGCCACCCAGGTGCTTCTATAGTTCTCTTTTTTTGTGCTGTCTTTATCTGGTTTTGGTATCGGGGTGATACTGACCTCATAGAATGAATATGGAAGTTTTCCTTCCTCTTGTATTTTTTGGAATAGTTTGAGAATAGGTATTAACTCTTCTTTAAATGTTTGGTAGAATTTGTTGTAAAGCCATCTGGTCCTGGACTTTTGTTTTTTGGGAGTTTTTTGATTACTGATTCAATTTCATTGCTGGTAATTGGTCTGTTAAATTTTCTATTTCTTCCTGTTTTAGTTTTGAGAGGCTATCTGTTTTAAGAGTTTATCCATTTCTTCTAAGTTGTCCAGTTTGTTGGCACATAGGTTTTCATAACATTCTGTTACAACTGTTTGTATTTCTGTAATGTTGGTTGTTATGCCTCCTCTTTCATTAGTGATTTTGTTTATTTGGGTGCTCTTTTTTTTTTTTTTGGATGAGTCTTGCTGGAAGCTTATCAATTTTGTTGATCTTCCTCTTGCTGGGTTTGGGTTTCATTTGTAAATTTATTAAAATCACCTTGATATAACCTCATTTACCATATTTAAACTAAGATAGAGCAGGCTGGGCTAAGAAAGACTGTAACAGGCTATTAACTATGGTTGTCAGAATTAAAGTCACACCTGCTGACAAATCCTGAGTTTCATGACAGAGTCAGATGAGGGAGTCTCATTTTTGTTTTAATATTTTATTTATTTTTATTATTTTACTTTTATTTTATTATTTATTTATTTTTTATCATGTTCAGTATTTATTAAGTTTAGAGAGAGAGAGAGCATGAGCAGGAGGGGCACAGGGAGAGGAAGAGAGAATCTCAAGCAGACTCCATGCCCAGCATGGAGCCCAACATGAGGCTCGATCCCATGATCCCAAGATCATGACCTGAGTCAAAACCAAGAATTGGATGCTTAACTGACTATGCCATCCAGTTGCCCTGAGTTTCATTGTTTTAATGAACCGTAGTATTCATTACTAACATGAAGATAAAAAATGGCAATTCCTGAAAAAGACTGTGGCTAGATAATGTGACCTATGAATTAGAATAGTTTGGAATAACATTTTATAGATTAATTTTTTTTTGGTTAACACTTCATTCTATACACTTCTTACTTACATCTCTTGGAAGTCTTTCCCCAAATCTATCAGTTTAATTCTTGACTGCATTGAACTGAAACCTTTCCCTAAATCTATCAGTTCAATTTCTTGAGTAAAACAGTATAATAAATCTTATTCATTTATTTCTTAGGTCATTATGAGTTTAAGTAAATCTTAGTTCTAACAGAATAAAAATCAGTTGCCATTGCAAAATATTGATAGAGAATCATATTTGATAGTGAACCACTATCATAATTATCCCTTTTTATAATTGTTAAGGGAATTTAAAAATTCCCTTAAAATAAAAAATAAAAATAATTTTTATATTTGTTAAGGGATATGAATTTAAAAATTCATAAAAAAGACATACTTTTCAATTTCATTTTCTTATAACTCAATTATAATTTTTTAACTTATTAAATCATCTGTTCAACAAATACAAATGTGCAACTACTGTGAGTAAAGCAAAATACTAGGTACTGAGTTTTAAGTGAGAAAGATTAACATGGTCTAATGATATAATGGGAAAGCAAATTCTTACATATATAGCATCTATAGATGTTATCCTGAGGCAGTGAGAAAACCACTGACAAGCTATATCCAGAAGATATACTAGCTTAGTCTCTTAAATACATCACTATAATATTAAAAAAATGGATTATAGGACACAAGAATGGATGCAGAAAATGTAGAAGCAATTTCAGAGACAATGCCACATTCAAATTAAGGGGATAAAAGCTTTAGACTAGGATTGTGGCAGTGGCAGACAGGGAGAAGAAAGATTTTCTATAGGAACTGGGAGTTTATTTGATATAGGAGAATAAAGATGAGGTAAGATTCAAAGATGAAACTCTGGTTTCTGGTCTGAGCAATTGAGTGGATGGTCAAGTCATTTTCTATTACAGAGAACACCAGGATAGGGGCAGGTTCTTGGGTGAACTATGATACAAGTCTTGGACTTTCTCTTGGAGGTTAAAAAATTTCCAAGTGGAGGCACTGAGAAGGTAATAATAAGAATAGTCTAGGTTGGAGTCATTAACATATAAATGGTACTTTAAGCCATAGGAAGTATGAAATAACTTACAAGGAAAGAATAACTGAGGAGAAAAGAAGCTCTGACAAGTGTCAAGTGGAAAATGAGTAATAAGCAAAGGAGTTTTTGAGAAAGAATAAACAAAGAAGGACTCAGAGAGTACAATATCACAGAGAGTCAAACTAAGAAAGCAAAAAATTTTAAAATGAGAAGTATGGTGAATGGAATAAGGATTGTAGAGAGATAGAGTAAAATAGAAACTGATGAATATTGGAGTGACTGGGTGGCTCAGTCCAGTAAGGGCCTGTCTTTGGCTCAGGTCATGATCCCAGTGTCCTGGGATGGAGCCCCAGAAAGGAGTCCCTGCTCAGTGGGGAGCCTGCTTCGCGCTCTCCCTCTGCCTGCAGCTCCTCCTGCCTACCATCAAATAAATAAATAAAATCTTTAAATAAAAAAAAGAAACTGATGAATGTCAACAGAATTTACTGACATGAAGCTCATTTGTGAACCTAATGAAAGTCATTTTGGAGAAATAATGAAAGAAGTTTGCAATTGTTGGGGCGCCTGGGTGGCTCAGTCTGCCTTCAGCTCAGGTCATGGTCCCAGGGTCCTGGGATAGAGCCCCACATCAGGCTCCTTGCTCAGCGGGAAGTCTGCCTGGTTCTCCCTCTCCCACTCCCCCTGCTTGTGTTCCCTCTCTCACTGCGTCTCTTTCTGTCAAATAAATAAATAAAATCTTAAAAAAGAAGTTTGCAATTGTTTAAAGAGTTTTGGGAAGGGGAAGAAAGGGTCTAGCCAACTTAAAGAAAATTGGTTATGGGGTTATGGCAAGGAGAAAAAAGTTAAGACTATGTCTAGGAATGGAGTAATTGCTGATAAAGAGACTGTTTAGCTAATAGAAGATTTTAACATGCTAGCATTCTTATAGATAGTTGAATTCAGAGGGAGATGATAAGTGGAGGCAAGTGGATCTTCAATAGGAAAAGGAGTTCAAAGGGGAATATTGACTTTTGATTGATTCATGAAATTCCTGTCATAATTCAGGTGGACTTAATTTTTCTCTTATAGGAGTTTCACAAATCCAAAGTCAATACTCCCCCTACAGACTTTAATGTTGTGAGCCCCGATGGAGTTTTAGATTATTCATGAATAATTTTATTTGTTAAGAAGAAGCTTCAAAACAATTGTTATATATTTACTCATTGTATTGTTTTTTGCAAGTTTTTTTATTTCATAATCAAAGAATTTTTTGTTTCTTTTTATGTTTTCTCTAGGAAAATTCCTATCCTCTTTTATAATATCATCAGGTATATATCTGGAGCAGAATCAACCCTCTCATTTACATAAAATAAAAAAATGGCATATTGTTGGAAAACAGATCTAAATACCAGTGAATCACATCAAGAGCAGCATGAGCACCAAGAATTTCACTCTGTAAATCAGTTCCTTTTCCCTAACCCAGTCAGCCTGGGTTTTGATCAGCTAGTAGATGAGATCAGTAATAACATTCCGCTCTATCAGAGTGAAAATGAAGAAAACACTGTTTTTGTTCCCAGTGCACCAAGCAGGGACTCAAGAACACATTCGTTAGATGAAACACACCAAATATCCTTGAATGAATTAACTTCTAAAAGCTCAGAACTCTCCTGTCACCAAGTTAGGAAAACACCAGTAATTGGCTTTAGGAGCTCTGTGCTACCAAATCCTGAAAACACGAACAAAGGAAGCTCTTGGGGAAACCCCATAGGAAAACATCATGGTGTTGATGATTACAGATTCAATATTTTAGCTTCATCGTCCACTAGTTTGGATAAAATTAATTCACAGAGAGAATTAGAAAATGAAAATCATAACTACCACATAGGATTTGAAAGTAGCATCCCTTCTATATATCCATCCTTTTCAACTGACTTCATGCCAAAAGAAGAGAATAAAAGAGGCAGAAATATGGACATTGTGGAACATTCTCTGATGCCTTTTAAAGGTTCTTCTTTACCCAGGACCTGGGAAAATACATGGCTAAAGAATAGAGAGGTATGTATTATATATGTTGACTTAAAAAAAAAAAAGAATCTGAAAGAATCATCCAATAATGTACTGGATTAATTTAGTAATGAGAGTCACTAATCTTAAATAGGAAAATGTATTAATATTATTTGTGAAAAAATAATTTATTATTCACAAATTCTGTGTTCCTAAATTAATGGTTTTTTTTCTGAAGAAAGAAAAAAAATTATATCATTTTTAAGGTCCAGTTTGGTCAAAACTAAATAAAATGTTATAGTCCTTACATTTTATTGGATAAAAATGTCATAATTGGAGGTTTTGATGAAAGTACTTTTGATTCTTATTGTTATTATGTACACACAGAAACATACATATATCTCATTAGATTTATATTTTGAGTCATACTGTCATAAATTAAAACTTTATGTCATTATGGTAGGAAAAATGTCCTTTTGCCCAGAGGCTCCTAAATTATACTGTTGGCTGGCATCTTCTATTGGGATCATTCCAAGAGTAGGAAATTAAGCAATCATGTACAATTCATCTTAATGGTTTCATCAGTAGTTCTCCAATCAATTTAGTCACCATAGAGTTTCTTGTATAATATTTGAATATTTCTCTGCTTACCCTGAGTCCAGACACAAGTGAAACTAGAAGTAAACAGTAAAAAAAAAAAAAAAAGAAAGAAAGAAAGAAAGAAAAAAGAAAAAAACATTATTGCAGCTGCAATTTACAGGGTGAAGCAAAAGAATTCCTCATTTATTCAACAACTATCATATTCTTAAAATAACATGATATACTAGGCATAATGAATGCAAAGAAAAGACATGATATTTGATTCAGAAATAGCATATTGTTCAAATTAACTTGTCAACAAATAATGGCAACAAAGTAAAATAACAGAATGAGTCCACAGGAGAAGAAATACCTAATTCTGTCTGAAGCATATGCAGAGGAGGTAGCAACTCAACTGCTCTGCATTAAAAGTCAATGAATTTTAGGGACATCTCTTTCTGATCAGAGCAGAATAACAAGTACTAAACTCCTGATTTCGGGCACTGAACAGAAGGCAGTATAGGACATGACCCTTGAGAGAAGGGAAACACCCCAGTGTTGTATGATCATCCTCCTTTCAGCTTGGGGGCACTTTCTTGCTAGTAGAGCAGGACACTAGAGCCCAATTTAACCAGCATTATCACTAAGCTTGAGAAGGCAGAGCCTGCATTACAGAGCAGAGGACATTTCCAGCTATGCAATGGGTGGGAGTCAGAAATCTGCATGAGATTTACTGTAGATTTTTGGCCAAGCAAGTGTGTTCACCACACACAAGTGTTAAGTTATGCAGTGCCGAAGTTCTAACCTAGCAAGAGAAAACACTGAGCTGAGTACTTCAGGCATCCAACTGAGATTACCCAAAGCTATCTCTTAAGAGTATAAAACAAATACTCTAGAGTGAATGCTGCACCTACCAAAACAGATGTGGCTTAACAAAAAGGCTGAGGAGACCAAAGGGTCTTACTGCCTGCCAGAGAAAATTATATACATTGTAAAAAAAACCAACACAATTTATAAGGCGTCATGTATAATGTTGAACATATAATAATAAATACACAGATATGTAAAAGAAGCAAGGAATTTTGGCCCAAAATCAAGAAAATAACCCAGTCAATACAAAGAGATTCTGACACAGTCCAGATGTTGAAATTAACAGATAGAGACTTTAAGGTAGTTATAAAAAGAATGTTGAAGTAGATGAAGTAAAAGGTGGACATAATGAGTAGACCAATGAAGAATCTCAAGAGAAAGTTAGAAACTACAAAAAAAAATAAAGACTATGAAAATTCTAGTACTGAAAATATAACACCTGAAATGGAAAATTACCCAGTGATTACAGATCTAAGAATTTCAACAATTCCCAAACAGAATAAATACAAAGACAACCACATGTAAGACAAATCATAAACATTTGTGAACAAAAGGTAAAGAGAAAATCATAAAGGACAGCAGCAAGGGAAAACAGATTTCACACAGTGGAACAACAATCTGAATCAAAGCAAATTTCTATCAGAAACAATAGAAGCCAGACAACAATGGAATGACATTTTAAAAGACATATATCTATACCTATATAATATATAGATAATATCTATATATATACATGCATATATATATACACATACATATATATACACATCACCATACTTTTGTATCCATTGAGTATACACTTCAAAACTTAAAATGAAATAGATATGTAAACAAATGCTGAGAGAAATTAGTCAGCTAACATGCACACAAAAATACTAAATAAGTGCTTTGAATGCAAGGAAAATGACACCAGATGGAATCTAAAAATGAATAAAGTGGGGTGCCTGGGTAGCTCAGTTGGTTAAGCATCTGCCTTTGGCTGGTCATGATCCCAGGGTCCTGGGATCAAGTCCTACATTGGGCTACTTGCTCAGCGGGGAGCCTGCTTCTCCCTCTACCTACTCTGCCTGCCACTTCCCCTGCTTGTGCTCTCTCTCTCTGACAAATAAGTAAATAAAATCTTAAAAAAAAAAAGAAAGAAGAAATGAACAAAGAGCAGTATAAGTGGTAAATATATTAGTAACTATGAAAACCTATTTTTGATAGCTATGTAAAGCAAAACAACAGCATATTTTATTGAGAGTTATTATATATATAGATAGATGAAAAATATATGACAACAATAGCATAAAGGATGGGAGAGTAAATGTTATTTGCTATTGTGAATTCTTACATTGTAAATGCAGTAGTACAGTATGAATTCTAAGTACACTGTGATATATTAAGGATGCATATTGTTACTTCGAAGCTAAGACAGCCACTAGAAAAATAATACTGAGAAGAAAAACTAAAATTCCAAAAGAGGAATTAAATGAAATGAAAAAAAAATTAAATAAACCAAAAAAAAGCAGGGAAGGAAAAATAGAAGAATAAAACAGAATAGAAACAAATAGAAACAAAAATGAGTATGGCAGTCTTAAATCCAACAATATCCATAAGTATACTAAATATAAATAGACTAAACTTTCCAAGTAAAAAGGAGAAATTGACAAACTAGATAAAAAAAAAAGATTTAATTACTATCTACAAGAGATAAACTTAAGGCACAAATAAGTTGAAAGTAAAAAATAAAAAGATATAATATTAAATCAGCAAACAAAAAGCTGATTATTAATAGCAGGAAAAGCACAGTTCAAGGCAGAGTATTATTAGTATTTGTATTATTATCATTTCATAATGACAGCAGGGTCAATCCAGAAAATACAATAAACTTAAATGTGTTATGTACCTAATAACAGCATCAATACACACAAAGCAAAAATTACTTCTTTTAAAGTTAATCATACACTCACCTTCTGACTGAGCCATTTATGGATTTATTGATAAGAAATAAAACACAGGTCCACATAAATATTTGTATATGAAAATTAATAGTTTTCTTTATAAAAACTATGAACAACTCAAATGCCCACCCACAGGAAGATGGATAAACAAATTGTGAAATAGTCAATAGAATAGTACTAATTGGCAATTAAAAAATGAACTATTGATGTGTAGCAACACAGATAAATTTAAAAATATGTATCATTTGAGTGAAAAAAAAAAGAAAGGAGAACATAGACTTAATCTATAATGTTAGCAATCTGAATAACAGTAGTTACCAAATGGATGTACAGTTTAACAGAAGGAGGTATGGGGGCACTTTCTCATGTGATGGAAATGTTCTATATTTTTATTGTGATATTGATAGCATGGTTGTCTACATTCCTCAAACTTAAATTATATATTTAAGAGTCAGACATTTTCTATACACATTATTTCACTTAAAAAAATCCCCCCAAAATAAAAATAAAAAACAGAATGAACTGAAGTGATGCAAGATGAGATGTCCCAAATTGTGCCACTTTGGTATAAAAGTTATATCAAGTTAAAAGTAATAAATACCAAGCAGATGCTGAAAAACTCTCCACTTCCCCCATAACTGCTTGAATTTACCTTGGAAAGCAGAGCCTGCAACAGGAAGACAGCTAATAACAGAGACTCCCCTTTACCTAAGGAACTTACATGCATAATAGGGCAACCCTTGGTTTTCAAACATTTCCTTTCACCTTCTTGTTAATGGCTTTCCTCCCCTTTGTGTCCTCAGGCCCCTACCCCTCTCCTCACCTCACAAAAATTTGGGGTTGCCTCATTGTTTTTGTAATCTCCTCTCTGTGTGGATTCCCCATACTCAGGCCTGTGAAATTTGATTTTCTCCTGTTATTTTGTCTCCTGTCAATCTGATGCTAAGTCCAGCTAGAAGGACAATAGGGCAGAGGAAAATCTTCCTTCCCGACAGAATCTTTAAAACAAAATTAAAATTGTAGAATTGTATTAATGTTTTCTCCACACCAAACTATATTAATTTAACAGTTTTTATTTTAAGCTGGCAGGTTGTTCTCTTCAGCTAGTTGAAGTACCTCAAGGCAGTAATAAGACTCTGGCCTCCTTCTGCGACAAAGTAAAAACGTGAGTGTTGCTATTTCATTAAACTTTGAACTTTCTGTACCAGCATAAATTTGTCTATTTTAATTTAACATTACTGATTAATTTTGAATGTAAAATGTTAAAGTTTTTAAATAATTTTAATATAATGAAAAATGTAAATTTGTGACAAATTAGTTCATTAACTTCTGGTATTGTTTTTGTTGTTTTTAGTCAAATAATTTTATTCTCTTGAAAATTTAGTTAAAGCTAAATGTTTCATATTTCATACCTGCCCTTGCTATCTATTGATCATTTAGTCAGCAGTGAATTAATTTTTCATTTAATGACATAACTGACTGACTTCTCTGGTTCTGTCGCAAAATAGCATAGATTTATCCTTCTTACTTGGGATATACTATTTAAAATGGTGAGAGTGTCCTCCTTTTAATAATTTAATCTTATCTCGAATGAACTGCCAAAATAAATGAGCAAATGCATGGGTGTTTGTCCACTGAAAAACAAATTTGTTCACTAGGGGATATTACAAAAACATCACTGATCCTCTTTTTGCCCATTTAAAATGAACTTATAAATATAGATGTCTTTTTTTAAGACCAGTTTCTCATTAGCAGTTAAAATTTATATAACGCCATCTCTTCTATTGCTAAGGTTCCTGAAAATTTTGAAAAATTAATGCATTTACATTTTGTTCTCTTGATTTTTATCTATTTATAGCTGTTTTAAAAATAATAAATACACATATAAATGAACTACAATTTATTTATCAGCTATAGCAGCTTACTACTACATGATAGTTTGGGATTAAAGACTGGAATCATTTATTTAATCATTAATTTAAAAGGTTATTGGAAAGCCTAATAACTAGTCCATGTATGAGAGATATTCAAATGTAGAACAAACAGAAAAGCAAGGTCTCTGCCCTAAAAAACTTGTAACCCTATTGAAGAATTGAAAGGCACACAGATAAAAAACAAAAAACAAACAAACAAATAAACCAAGGACCTCAAATCCATGAAAATATTTAATATTTAATTAATGTCTCACTTGTTCACAGAAAAAAATTAAAATGACTCTTTGGATATCTAAATTAGGATCTTTAAAGACATCAATATTGATTCTTTTAAGAATAAACTACTCACTGTCAAAAATGGACAAGCACTGCCAGGAACTTTACACTTTAAATCTAAGATGTGATCATTTCTACCCTCTAAGCATGAGAAAAAGCTCTCTTAATATCACAAGATATCACTCAGTATAAATCCATTGACAAAACACTTATTACTAGACCTTCCCATCACTTTTTTTTAACATAATGTAATATTCTTAGAGGAAATCTTTGTGGATGCAATAGTGACACAAAATATTTTACATAATGGTTTGTCAGTAGCTCATGGTGCATTTTCTGAATTTTTAAATGTAATTTTTCTCAATGGTTCTTTTCAAAGTAACCATGAAAACTAAAACAGACAAACAAACAATAATAAACTTTATAGAGTAGTGAAAGGAAGATATAGGTTATATTCACACACACTTGCTTTTCAATAATCTTTTTTGATGTATATTCATATATAAAATAATTAAATTTATAGATGCATAATTATTTGTACACAAACACACTATTCATTCAACAGCAACTATTTCGGAGGATCTATGTACTAGGCACTGTCCAAGGCTCTTAATTCAAAGGAAGATCAAATTGAGTTTGAAAGCCAAATTTCATAAGAGGGTCACAATAGAATGGATTGATGTATCCAATTTCATCTGGTTTTTTGTCTAATATTTAAATAACCGTACCTAAAAGTGTTATTGATATTTCTGTCATACACCCTTTAAAGAAGCTATCTAATTTGCTGGATTTGGTTTCTTGTTGTGACATATTTTTAAGCCACATCTTTCAAGGAATGTGTCATACTTTTGTTAAAAATGTAATAAAATGGCATAGCATATGAAAAGTTTTGAATACAGTAGACACTCAACAAAATTTTAGGAGAGAATAAGTCATTAATTTGCATTTTAAATTTAATTCTCCCAAACAGTAGAAGCTTAAATCATGTATGCATGGAGTAGTATCCTATCATACGGTGAATGATAAATCATAAAGCCCCTCAACCAGAACTGGAGTCTAGACTTTTATCGTAGGTATAACAAAGGAGAGTGGCCCAAATCTTTATCCTAAACAATGGGTTCTCAAACTGTAGTTCCGAAGTAGCAGCAGTAATGGCTTACTTGGGAAGCTGTTAGTAGGGAAAATGTGAAGATTCCTCCATAGAGCTATTGAATCAGCAAGGATGAGGATGGGACTCAGAAAATAAGGTGATTCTGATGCATGCCATGCACTTTTCATTTGTCAGGCCCCTCAAGGAGGGGAGGTTTCTGTACAATTTAAGGGCATAGAGATTAAGCTACTTCAGTGAGCCTGGCACTACTTTAATGCTGCACAAATAGAATGAATGCCAAGGATGTAATTCATATCGATACATTACATAGAATGCATAGTATACCCTCTATACACAAAACATATAACTTTCTCTTTGGGACTAGCACTACAAAATTTAGATGTCTGCATAATTAACAGCAACAACAACAAAAAAACCCCCATGATTTCATATTCATCATCAAAGGCATTTTAAAACATCTAAGTTGCAAATAATTTTATGTTATATTCTACACGTGGGCAACAACATGGGTCGACAAGGATTCAGCTATAATAATATATAATGATAATTATGGTACATCATATGGGTATATGCTTACATTCTACAAGAATCTTTTGCATGCCTTTTCACTTTTAATCCTTGCAATGAATCTTTGAAGTAGATACAAATATCTTCATTTGAACAAACAAAGAATTGGTCAAATAACTTGCCTCTGACCATAAAACTACTAATTGGAAGAATCAGGATTCAAGCTCAAGGCTTCTGGCTCCAAGGATAAACTATTTTGCAATTCTCTGACTCATTTGAGCAATAAAGGATTGTTCAGTGTGTACAAATGACTTCTGGGCTAAATTACTTATGCAAAATCCAGAGATTTGTGTAAAATCCAAAAATTTACAGCCAAGAATGGTATTTACCAATTGGACACAAGGTAATTTATTTTAAAAAATCCTTAAATCAAAATGGGTGACTTCCAGCTTGAGAAATTTATCAAAAACCAAGAGGAGGCATTTAGGCTTCAAAAGTAATGTCAGTGAAGGAAGTAATCATTGTTCAGAGTGAATTTTCATGCCTAATGAATGACAATGTATTCTTAATTGCTTCAAATGAGATGCTCCTGGGGAAATCTAACGAATGGTCCTTTACAGTTGTTTTGGTATAATTGTAATCTTTACCAGTCTGGCCTCACTAACAGCACTGTACCACAAATCAGCTACTGATTGTTTTCATATTTTAAATCTTCTACAGCAAAACTGTGCATGAAATTTCTTATAATCTTCTCCTAAGTATTATTTTCCATATATTTTTCAGAATAAGAGAAACATATCATGCAGCTGACATTAATTCCAATTCAGGGAAGATCTGGAGCACTACTACAGCATTTCCCTATCAGCTCTTTTCTAATACTAAGTTTAACATAAATATTTGTATTGATAACTCAACGCAACTACTTCATTTTACACCATATGGTAAGCAACCTTGCAAATAAGTATAAAAATCTACATAAAGCTGGTATAGCTGCATAGCCTTGAGTCCACAGACTGAAAGCATTACAAGAAATGTTATTAAATGCTAGTATTTTGCCCTGAAGTGAAGTTAAGAAGAAAACAGCTGGAAACCTCTTGTTAACATTTGTTTAGCTATTGTTTTTAAGAACTCTCTTCACATAGCTCACCCCAGGACACTACTTTCCTGCTATAAAATAGTTGATGGCAAGTATAATAAATTTTTAGCATATTAAAAACAAAACCTAATTTCAAAAAGATTATAAAGCATATGGATGAATATGAATGAATATACATGTATGAAAATGGCAATACTACCCATTAGAAACAACTATGTCATTCAGATGTGAATAAATTATGACATAAAACAGGCAACTATACATAGTCTTTATTCCCACTGTACAAACTATAGGAGCCTTAGGCAATAGGTCCATTGAATCAGTCTCTGGGGATGGATCCTGGAACCTGGAATCTGCATTTTATCAAACTCATCAGATGATTCTTATTTTTCTAAAGTTTTAGAATTTCTTTAAAGTTGTCTAATATTTTATTTCACTGTTATTGTAAACTATTTTGCAAAACAATAATAGTTCTTCAAACATTAGTTGTTACTAAATGAGTTTCTACCTATGAACTGTTTTTTCTTGACAAAAAATGAGCCAACAAATATTTTCTTTTCATCGATTGTTATTAACATAATTATTATTTTGATTGTTTCTTTCTTACTCTAGTCAAGATTCTGAGTTAGTGCAGATGGCTACAAACATAACAATGTTATGTTGGAATATTTAGTTAGGACCATCTGGTTTGAAACTAACAAAAACCAACTCCTGCTGCCTTAAGAAAAAAACACTCTTAAAGAATATAGAGATTTCTTACAGAATTTAAGAGTAAGAATTCAGTAGATTCAGGAATGTACTAAAGGCACAGATGAAATAAGCAGTCCAAAATTCCTGTATGCATCTCACCTCATCTCTTCTATATATCTATTTCTTAGGTTTCCCTTGCTTTCTGCTGACTTATTTCCCTTGCTTTTCCAGAACACATGGAAAGCCAAGCTCTCAAGCTTAAATGCTATTTGGCCAGCTCCCTAAAGAAAATTCAGTCTCTCTATTAGATCTAATTCCAAATTTCTAAAAGCAGGATTCTGATTGCCAAGCCAAAATCAGTGGTGTTGAACTTGAACCCTGAGCCAATCACAATCTCTGTCATATTGGCCTCAGTTGCTGGAGAAGAGGGAATAACTGTGAACTAGGGAGACCACTTCTCTTCTTCCAGTTTAAAATATTTAATTTCCAACATCTCTCCCTCTCTCTCTGGATGTTCTTTTGTTGAATGTGGCAAGTTGGAGGTCATTTTTTACTTTTATGAGAAGTTTCAGGAAATTGATTAGGTCATTGTGTCTAGTGTTTGAGATGTATAGTAGTAAAGAGGATGTCTACTCTCAAGCATATTAAAAATGTTTATGAGAAGGAGGAAGTGGAGATGGAGGAAGGGGTGAAGTACAGAGGAAGAAGGAGAACGAAGCAGAGGAGAAAGGACACGTTCAAGAAAACACACAGAGCTGCACATGCCACTGTTGGGAGGAAAACATTTCCTCTATCCACTTATATTTGAAGGGGGTGGGGTGGTGGCTGTGACTTAGCTGACAATAGATTAGTAGGAGAAAAGGCAAAGTTATTTACACATGCATGCAGGGGTTACTTGTTGAATACCCAGAGGTAAAGGTTTATATACCAATTTAATATAAAAGTATATGTGTGTGTGTGCAGGGGGTGTCACCTGGAGCTTCAATAGGAAAATAGGAACTATATATATGTATTCATGATAGTGGATGGGCAGTCTGTCTCCTTCCTGGAATTTGCAGGAAATTCCCTCCGAAGGAAATTAATGGAAGCTGTATTAGGGAGTCTCTGCTTTAGTCAGATAAAGAAAGTTCAGATAAGATTTCAAATATTTTCACTTTGAAATAATCTTTACGCCAAAACTGTGATCCTTTCACCACTTTATATAAGTGTTTTACTAGTAAATACAGACGTGCTATAAAGAACAAAATAGTGTATCTGAAGAATATATCAAGAATGACTTCAACAAAAAATAGAAGCTGTTCCTAGAAATTTAGGGAATAATGAAATCTAGATAAATAAAGAGGAGGAGATGGGTGAGGATAAGGCATTTTCATCCAAAGAGAACAGTTTCCCCAAGACTGAGGAAATGGAATCCTTTAGAGAATTACGTTTTTTGAGCAAAGAATTCTGTGTTCCATAATCTTCAATTATCACTTCAGTGAAGATGATTCCCTTGTCCTTATTTCCATGTACAAAATTGCTCTAGAGTGTCCTTCCTTTCAGATTTAGATGATTCATGGTTAGAACTGTATTAGGAGGCCGTTTGTGACCTGCCAAGTGTTGGAAGTAGAAGTCAGTTTGCAGAGATTAAAGAGTGATTGAGAATGGTTTACAGAAGTTATCTACTTTTTAAAGAAGTTTGGCAGTAATGAGATGGTTAAAAATATACTATCTTAAGGGAATGAAATGGATGACGGGAGATTTTATTGGAAGATTAAACAGAAACAGAAATTTTAAGAAAAAAACAAAAGCATCTTTGGAGTGGAGAATATTGAATATATAAAAGAAAAGGGACTTAATTGATGGAAATAGGACCTAGTATAAGAAAAACAGAAATTAAGAAGTAAGATACAGCAAAAAGCAATGATTCTTATATCTCAAAAGATGGGTAAAGAGGTAGAGGATTATGTGCAAAAAACTAGAGAGCCAAATTAATTAAAATGAACTGGTGTTTCTGGGGATATTTTCTTGCCATCATATACTGGCAATATTCTCCCTTCCTTGTCAGAGCCCTTACAGTCACGATTTTGCTGTGGCCATATTTTCTTCTAGCTTCCAACACCATTTCAATCATTATTCCCAAGCAACAGAGTATTTAAGATACTCTCTGCCATGTCAAACCATTAACACAATCCTTAATTCCATGATGATATTTACCATTTTTTCTCTGACCATTTCTTAGAAAATACCTTGATCTACCATAAAACCCACATTTTAAAATCCAGCATTATTCTCTTCCCCTGTTTTTTTGTGGCAGGTCCTGCAATGTCAGTTGCACTACATTTTGTTGTACAAAAAAGTATGGACGTAAAAGAAGCTATAGCAAATTAAAGACATAATTGCAAATTAAACACAACTCAGATGAATACAATTGAGAGTTTGCAGTATGCTGTTCAAATTCCCACTGGTTAGGGGTGATAAGTACAGTCTGTTTGCACTTGCTTCATTGATTGAGACCATGAGATCACACTCAAAGCATGGAGATATATAGATATAGATATAGATATAGATATAGATATAGATATAGATATAGATATAGATATAGATATATAATTTTCAACTATCATCATTTATGGTTATAAATGAGCCCTGTACTAGTTGTCATTTATAATTAGGAAAATATTTAATAGGCAAATATTACTGTAGCAAGTCAGTATGGTTCTGGACACTATTAAATGGCATATGTATGTAAGAGCTTAGTGGGGAGATGGTGGAATGTAAAGACAAAGGAATTTACCTTATAGTATGCTTACATTTTGAGCTCCATAGAAGGTAGAGAAAAAAAAGCACATGTTCATTAAAGTTATTATAATGCTGTCCTAGATGGAAACTTGAGTGATTCCCACATGGGAAAGGAAGAACAATAAGCTTGGAGACTTAGAATCATTGACAGCACAGGCTTTGGAATCTGACAGATTTAGGTTAGACTCTTGACCTGCCACTTATCACTCACTGAATCTCCTAAGTCCCTATGAGTAACCACAATAGAATACTTTTTAAAAAAAAAAAATTTATTTACTTATTTGAGAGAGAGAATGAGAGAGAGAGGCAAGAGACGGAGAGGGGCAGAGGGACAAGCAGACTCCCCTCTGAGCAGCCCAATGCAGGGTTTGATCTCAGGACCCGAGAGATCACAACCTGAGCCGAAATCAGACCCTTAACCCACTGAACCACCCAGCTGCCCTCACAGAATACTTTTTTATGCAGAGCCACAATGTATTAAGATTTTAACATGAAGAATACAATATCTAGCTCTGTCAGTAATATGAAGACAGACTGATTAAAGAAAATGCAAAGAATTGTTTTTCAAAGTATCTCCAAATTTAACCAGACTAATAAATGAGATGCATCTCATTTTAACTCCTCTTGATGGAGCTAGACAGTTACAATAGTTCATAATATATATATCTTTTTTTGTGCTCAAAACTTTTATCCCAGCCAATATATGATAAGCTCTTATTAACTTTTTATTATTCACCTTTGTTTTTAGCTAATTATCTTGTCAAAGACCTAACAGCAGAGATTCTACATTTTTGTACAAATGACCAGTTATTCCCCAAAGATCATCTTCTAAGTATATGTGGCTCTGAAGAATTTTTGCAGAAGTAAGTATCTTATTAAGGTAAAATTTGATCATTGTTATAACCTATGCTAAGGCAGTGCTCGCTTCGGCAGCACATATAATAACCTATGCTAAGGCATACTTCATTTTTTTCCTTTAAACATACTTTGTACAAACACCATACTCTTATAACCAACATAATTAAATTAATTTTGCCCTTTTTAAGGTGAATTCAAAATTTTATGACTCATGGCAACAGTCTCATTCTCGGTTTTATTTAGTATTTTGTGTATTTATGGCAACGTGTATTTAAGTGACCTGTGACCAGGAGGGTGATATTCTCAGGACATGGAAATTTCAGTTTTGAAACCAAGAAAATCCTAGGCAAAACAAGTCACTGTATAAAGCTTATTAGAACTGATCACAATTTTTTAAAAGTAACAAATTATTTTGTAATAAGTAATTTTTGATTTGGAATAATATTAGTATGCTGATTAAATGCTGATTTTTAAAAATCACAGAGGGTTTCAGTATGAGCATTATAACATTTTCATAAAAGAGTAACCTTCATTTCTTTAGTCAGGCAGCTCTTATAACAATTAGAAAAGTCTAGGTAGGTCAACTGCAAATACTTATTTGATAGAAAACTCACTTTCTCTTATTATATCACAATTATGACTATTCTGAAATTTCTTAAAGACCAACCTTGAAAATATAATACAATTTTAAGAGAGGAGATATTCCTTTGCTTCGTCTGCAGTTATTCTAGATAGTAAAGTCATAAACTAGTCAATGAAGTGAATTGTCATTTACATTTTTCCTTTGTGTTTCCACAAGTGTCTAAAGAATGACAACAGTCTCATGGAAGTCAAAGTGTATTTCGTTTCAGATACTCGTTGTCACTGTCATTATTATTCCATCATAAATGTATGTGAAAATTTGATGAATTTAACAATATTATCAGCAAATCCAGTCCTTTATTGTGCAATGTTAACTGTGAGTGACTTTTAAGACTGAATATTTCCCTTTTTGTAATCCCAGTTATAACAAAATAATAATAAAGATTTATATGAAATCACAGATGTTTTTGTACTGAACTCACAGATACCCCCTTCTTTCTTATCTATTTGAACCTGTTAACATACCCAATGACTAGGCTGCTACATTCTTCCAACATATGGTTTTTGAAAGTATATCCAAAGAGCAAGGAGAAATACTTTAGAAATGTAACCTTACACTGAATACTCATTAAAATTCATCTTCTGAATGTATATGTCTCCAAATGTACATCCGGACTTTGGCTAATGTCAAACATTAGATACAAAAAATTAGAGACATTGTTAAAATTATGTATTTAGTATTATCAGTAGGAAATATCATCCCACAAGCAAAAGTGTTAAAGAGATAGAAATTTGGAAGAGTATAATGTGCACAAATTTATAATGGACCTTGTCTTAATTACTGTTTCAAATGTGTAAGTCATCTATAATTAGCTCAACTGTTGACTGGTAAAAATGTATATATCATTTTGCTCTTTTTTCTTATTAATATGAACATAATAGATTTCTAAAATATTTTATAGTCATTTGTTTCTAACAAAATTTCATTTACCTGGGTTTTTATTAAGATAGTAAAGTTACAAGTATTAGTATAGATTAATTATAGTAATTTTTCCCTACTGGAATTTGAAAGATATGTATATATCAGGGATTTACTTACTATTTAGGATTAACATCCTATGTGTTTGGTATGACTTTTTAAAATAACATAACATTCATTATCATTCTTTCTAACATCTAAATTCATTCAGTTTTTTTTGTTTGTTTATTCTCTTGCAATTTGTCTAAAAAAATATGTCCTAGGGGCTCCTGGGTGGCTCAGCTGGTTCTCTCTCTACTTATCCCTAGCTCTTTCTCTCCTTCTATCCTCCTCTCCCACTCTCTCTCTCTCTCAAAAAAAAATAATAATAATAAAAATAAATAAAAAACCATGTCCTTAAATACTTGGAAATCTTCATAATGTTCTTCTATAGAGGGAACACAGGTAACACATAATAAAGTTAATAATGTAATAGGTAATAATTTAGACTCAACAGTTATAGTACTATGTCTGGAGTATTTGACTAGCTTTGATTGTAATAATAATAACCATTCATCAAGTGCTCGTTATTTGGTTACCTCATATTGGGTAGACTTCTAAGTCTTATGATATTATCAGTATGTTAGATACTGTAATTACCCTTGTTTTACAGACAGGAAGTCTGAGGCTTTGTTTAAGATCACAGTTTAAGCTGGTAGAGTGAAGCCTGAATTCAAATCTGGGTTTGGCTGTTTGCCCTGGGTCTGAACTATGAAACAATAGTGCAAAAGCTCTTGAAGGATATACAAGAAATAGTAAATAGGTCTTCGTGCTGGAGCACAGGGTGAAAAGTATGTGTAGTTTCTTAGGTGTCTGCAGGAATGGGGTGCAGAGATTGTATTAGTCTACTTCAACTCCTATTGAAAACTGCACACATTTAAAACATTTGGTTAATCACTGAGAATACAAAGGTAAGTTATATATAATCTTTGCCCCATCCCTTGCCTAAAAATTCATAAAGCCCTGTAATGCTCAATCATGTGGACAGTATTAGCATTATTATAATCCAAATACTTGTAGATCACAGAGGGATTAATGGCAAGAATATGGGGACAGTGCAAAGAAAAGTCAATGATAAACTTGTATTTAAAGAATAAATACTGAGGAAAAAAAATCAGTACCATGTGATAAAATGTTAATGGCCTTAGAATATATAAAATACACTTAAATTTTGTTCTTAAAAAATAATTACCAAGAAAAAACAGGCTAAGAATGTGAGTAGCATGAATAGAAATTCAATGGACAAGAAATTATTTAAATATTTTAATAACAAACATCCAATTAAAACAATGAGATACCATTTTTGCCCATCAAATTCTTAAAATACTTATGATGAAATTCAGTTGGAAATGGACAATATATAAACAGCTGCTAGAAATATATATTGATATAACACTTACTGAAGAGAATTTTGTCAAACATGTTAAAGGTCTGTAGAAACGTGTCTAAAACTGATAGATCATCTGTGTTTCAGCAATTCTGCTTCATTGAATATTTCTAAGTAACAATCATAATGATACAAAAAGACTTAGTTATAAAGGATATTTACCATAACATAATTTCTAGTATTAACAATAAGAAGAACAAAAACTGGGAAAAAACTAAATCTCCAATAGTACTCCGAAATAGAGGTAAGATAGGTCATGAACATAATTTTAACATAAAATGACATAGAATTTATAAATTATTAAAAATATAGCGTCATATGTCTTAAAATAAAAACATGCATCATAGTTCTTAAGGATGAAAAGGTATCTTTTCAAATCATGTTTAAATATATTAATTTTTGTTAAAACAAGTGTATTTCTATTCAGAAAGTAAGAAGAAATCTTTTTTTTAAAAAAGATTTTATTTATTCATTTGAGAGGGAGTTAGAGTGAGAGAGAGAGCGCGCTGGAGCACAAGCCTGGGGGGGAGCGGGGAGAGGCAGACTCCCCGCTGAGCAGGGAGCCCAACGCAGGGCTCTATCCCAGGACCCCGGGATCATGATCCCAGCAGAGGGCAGACACTCAACCAACTGAGCCACCCAGGTGCCCCAAAAAGAAGTCTTATACACTAAAATGTTAAAGTAGTTGATTTCACCTTGAAAAAGAACTACAATACAAATTATATTTATTTATTTCATTTTAATTTACAAAACTCCGATAAACCTGCCTTTTTTGCTATCAAGAGATTAAGGAAATAAATAATTTCTCATGGAGATGAAAATAATAACAGTAAAATAACAGCAAAATCTACTTCCCTTATTAAAAGTCTTTAATGGACTAGAATTTTCACACGTAGTACCATTCATTTTCATATAAGAAAGCATTATCACCATTTTACAGATGGGAAAATTGAGGGTAGGAGAAAATAATAACTTATAATAATAAAATAACAAAATAATAAGGTTACAAAATTTGGAAGCAGCAAAGTCAGGATAGCACAAGTTTATCTGGCTCTGAAGCCCGAATCTTTCTAATATATAACAAAGTCTCCTTCATAATAAAGGGCCACTTCAAAATAAAAATTAATAGGGATAATGTTTCATTGGGGAAAATGACCAGTTACTTGGGTTGTAAACATGGGTTTATAATTCCGCACACAGCATTTAGGTCAAACACAAGGAAATCATAACTTGTAGAACACTCATTTCTGACATATTTAAATTTTTAACAATTTTAACCAGAAAACATTTAGAAATGATTTGACTAAAACAAAGGTAAATCATAATCACCAAAGGTGAGCTTGTTAAATTTCTGATTAGACTAAAATTTTCTTTTTGGAATTTTGAGACTCCTTAAGCAATAAATATTATCAAAACAAATTCTGCCCACTATTGATAATGCTACTCTATTACTGTTGCTTTGGCAAAATGAGTTTAACTTCCTTTAACTTAAATTTCTTTATCTTTTAAAAAAATTATTTTTAATGCATTGTTCTACTTTACAAATGAGCCATAGGATTACATTTTAGTAATCTTTAATTCCAAATGTAAGAATTTTATTAAGCCCCTACTAATCTTTTCAGGGTGTATGGATTGCTTTGAGCTCCAGAGAAGTGTAGGTCTAAGTAAATTAAAATATTATGTGGTTGTTCAGATACAGTGAACTTAAAAGTAGAGAAGTATTCTCTCTTCCCCTGCCCCAACAAAAAACCACTATTATTTTTGAGGGATGATTTAGAAATTTTTTTTCATTTTAAATTCTCCTTATGTTATCAGAACTATGCTTTTCAAACTGTTCTGCATTATGAAGATAGAGATAAATTATATTTAGTTGCTACTTTTGCCATTTCTCATCTATTTTAGACTAGGTAAGGGCAAATCCTTAAAATGTAAACTCCTTGGTTTCTTCCATTCAGTATATTTGTCTGACTATTCTAAGACTTTTTGTCATCACAATTAATGTCAATGGTCTAGATGCT